ATGCCATATGTAAACCTCCCTCGAGACCCATAGGGACAAGGCGAGGCCTGTCAGGATGGCCAGCGCCCAGTACATGCCGAGGAGCTGTCGGATGATGTCTGAAAACTCCATCGTCTCAGCTAGTTTGAGTTGGTAAACTGAGAGCAGCAGAAGAATATCCCAGATGAACAGACTAAAACCGGCCAGGACGGCGAGGACTACTGAGAAGACTTATATAAGCATTGCAGGGTCCAGAGACCAGAGAGAGCGGTATGCTCCCTGTTCGACCCCCATGTCGTCCCAGCAGCCGGGCAGCTGGATTCGACCATCGGTAGACAAAAAACATTGTGTGTAACCCTACCTGAAGTGAAGCCCGTCCCAATATTCAGCGAGGCTAGTCAAGCCACTGCAGTGTTTGCGTTGCAACCCCCATCATCCCTTACGTCTTGTGATTCGTCCACGAGGGTCATGTTGCAGCAGTGCGAAGTCGTCCAGTCTGGAGTACACTGTACTGTCTGCTGTTTGCAATTCCCGTCGGCCGCCGGCAGGCATACCTACTTTAGTCGCTAAGTTAGTCCGAGCATGCGGGCCGATTGAGCGAGCCGTGTTGTCGGCGACCATCGAGCGAATCACGGCCCGTCTTCTTCTTTCTGCCGATGAGGTTTGGTTGTAAATGGCAACAACCATCGCTGAGTTTGGCTTTTTGGTGTGCCACCTATCTCGGTTTGTTGCAGTGATAACGAAGACATAAATAATTATACGTCGTGATTTTCTGCGTTGGGTATCTGAGAGTCGTGGGCGTACGTAGTTGGGGTTGCTTGGTTTCGGTCCGAAGTCCCTACCAAGTTTGGGGAAAGTGGCCCAGGTGGTCAACATCTTCATAAGGAGGGCAGCGTTGAAGTGTTCTCATCCGAGATTTGTCATCTTTGGAGGCTTTTAAACAAGTCAGTTAACTGCACCTAAATGGCGTCATGTCATGAGATACGTTATGTAGAGAGGACGGAAGGGAGCGAACTTGTGGACTTGGATCTGAAGAAGTGCAGGTAAAGATGCTTGTTTTGTGGAAGAGGAAGATGGGCTCTGAGGGCTGGCTAAATACAGGGCCTTGGTCTATGCGTGCCTTCCATCTTGTCTGGGTGCTCCTTCCCGGCTGTACAGATCATACCATCTCTTGGAACAGCGTATCGGTCAGCCCGCAGCGGAACCATAGTAGATAATTCTTTGCCCTGGTCATGTCGGCCCAAGAATGAGGTCTGGGAAGATGGTGCTGGAAAGAGGTGAAAATAGTTTTTTTTTTGGCTATCCTGACAGATTTGTGAAAACTGGCCAGTTCCTGTGATAGGCGTACTGAGGTATCTAATGTGCAAGTACCTGGTAATTATCCCGGGAGCCCCGAGTAGCATAGAAGCAGCCTAGAAGAGGGAAAAATGGTGACTTGGTGAACGAGATAAATGTACGCACCGTGATACTTGTTGACACTGAGTGTGAAGAGAAAGACATGGAATCAGGTGTCTCAAATCCAGTTACCGACGCCGAGTCAAAAAGGAACTGACTGGGTCCAGTATTTTGGCTGAGTGAGGTGGTACGATTCCTCGCATCAAGTCGGGGAGGGCCAGGGGGTTGATATAAAATTGACATCTTAAAGCAACTGGCATAAGTGTGGTATATCATCTCCATCGAGACGCAGCTTCTAGGATCGGACCTGTTGTGGCGTGTTAAGCTCTAACAACACAGTCTCAGCTCACATTCAGAGAGTGGACTCGGTGAGACAGTGATCATCCTCTAATAAGGAAATAAATGGGCATGTTGTTTCTCGCAGCAGTGATTTCATGATATTCGTTAATAGGGTGATGCTATGATAAAATAGGTAGATATGCACATGTACTAATATTTCTACTCAGTCTCATTCTTCCTTCGTCCATATCTGATATCCTTCGCAGCTTGGGTCTCCGATAACTCAAGAGCCAGGCTCTACACATCTTCAAGGAATTTACCGCCGGTAGTTGAGCACACCAGCCAACGGGTTGCTGGTCTGGGGCGTATGGGGCGCTGAATGGCTGGACACCGAGTCGCCCTCGAGCTCGGCCACGCCCTCGGTCGGCTTCTTCTCCTTCTCGCGGTACTCGAACCCAAAATCGAACGGCACATTGCTATGCTCCGTCTCCCAGTCCATCTTCTGCCTCTCCGCAACATCACCGGGTAGCGTGCCCGCCTCTGTTCCACCGCTCAACCGCTTCCGCCCGTCACGCATTCTGCGCTTCCAGACGAGATAGATCACAGCGGCAGCAAGAGCCACTCCGGCGGCACCACCAGCGACACCGATGCCAATCTTGGTCCCCTGGGACATACCGCTGTTGCCGCTAGTCGGTCCACCACCACCTACTCCGTTGTTACCATTCCCTGGCAGTGGGGCCGAGTTGTCCACATCGGTAGCCGAGCCATCCGGATTCGCAGATGGTATAATAAGGGTGCCGTCAGGGGCAAACGACGGGGTAGTATTCGCAACGGCAGCAACGGCCGAGGGTGGCACAAAGACAGACAGGAAGGTGTTGCCTCCCTCGGTAACAACTGTGGTCACGGGCTGCAGAGTAGTTGTAGCTGCTGGCGCGGGACCGTTGAAAACGCTGATGGTTGCTCCAGCACCACTGTTGGGGGAGGCTGGTGCTGGGGCGGCTGGTGCGAACGTGGGAATGGCGATGCCGCCGGGGCTGGATACCGGCTGCTGAGCAGGAGCTGCTGCCGAGGTGGCCGCTGGCGCTGGAGCCGCAGCAACTGATGCTTGAGAAGATGCCGGTGATGCTTGCGTTGGGGCAGCAGCAGTTGGGGCCTGAACGGTTTGCTGGGCGGGTGCCTGGGGCGAAGTGGCCGGACTTGGTGTCGGCTGGGCAGGAGCGACGGTCGGTTCTGCCGGTGGCGATGCAGGACTTGGCGACGCTGCCGGCGCGGGAGAGGAAGCAGGCTCCGGTGACGGTTCGGGCGACGGCTGTGGAGACGGTTCAGGCGAAGGTTCTGGCGAGGGCTCCGGCGATGGCTCCGGTGACGCGGGAGAGGGTTCTGGCGAAGGGTCAGGTGAAGGCTCGGGTGATGGTTCAGGCGATGGTTCGGGTGATGGCTTGGGCGACGGCTCTGGGCTTTGTTCAGGGCTCGGTTCCGGTGCTGGCGTTGTCGGCTCTGGGGACGGCGTATCGGGACTTGGCGAAGCAGCTGCTGTCGCAGCCGGCTCTCCGGCCGCACTCGATGCTGGCTCAGCTGGAGCAACTACCGGACTCGGAGCCTGGACCGTAGGTTCGCCGGTGGCAGCGGGAGCTGCATCGGTACTCGCGCCGCCCAAAAGAGGTCCAACAACGGGCAAATCGTTCAACAGTTGGGCCGCGGCCGGCGCAGCCAGCAACCAAAGGATGCGGATGGCCAGCATCTCTCAAGAAACGAAATTAAAAAGAATTACAAAAGACGGCCCCGGAGTGCCAGACGTGCAGGTGAGCTTCACCCGGTTGGCATCTTGTCGATGGAGAGAAAGGGCGGCCAGAGCCAGGCGGTGGTCGAAGACATGGTGGTTTTGAGAAAGGGGTGGACAAGCACTGATCGGCGCGATGGCGTCGGGACGACAGACAGGAGCGTGGTTGCAGTTCCGTGATCCGACGGTCCGGGACGCAAGTGGTTTCAGTCTGGAGTTGACCGGCCTTTCTTTGGCCGACAGGGGCTGCGTTGCAGGGAAGATCGCCACTGGACCGTGTCAGGCTCCCCCCTGCAGCTGCCCGAGCCTCACTGCACAGAGCAGACGTCACAGTCGACGAACCTGGTGCTTCCCACTCTTTCCGCACATTCTCATGCAGTCCTCCGACGGGCCCACCACACGAATGGGCTGAACATGTCGTCACAGGCTGGGCGACCGAGTATGCGCTATGCCAGCTACTGCCAACCCAGTGTCTGCCGCAGCATTGATCGGACGCTGAAAATAATATCGGAGGAATTGCGATTGAGGCTAAAATACCCCGCAGAGCTGGCGATCGTCTGTCTTGTCGACATCTTGGCTTGTTGGCCCGCAGTGCGGAAGTCCATTAGGACTGGATGTCATTTTGAACGCCTCAGGGGAACAAAGAAGCCCACAAAACTGCCCCTGTGGCGACTGGCAGCTGTCGGAAGAGCAACAGCGTGGGTGACATGTGGGACGGACGGCGACGTTGCCGGAGACAGGCAAGACAAGATCTGACTGTCTGACATGCAAGTGTCCGCCCTGCGTATTCTGCGGGAGCACTTTGCGTATCGTGCGGGAAATCCCCTTATCTCGCCTATGCCGGCCAAAGCGGACCCTCTGTGGCTGACCCCGCCGGCCGCAGCACTCCCTCGCTGGCGCCGCAATTGAAGCCATCGCCAAGTGCACAACTGCAAGCCAGAACCATCATCATTGCAAGGACCATGGTGTTGGAGATAGCTCAATTGAACTACGTAGTCGGCCTACCTACCTACCTACCTACCTACCTACCCTCTGCAGCCTGCGCCGTAGCCCTAACCTGCCCGACCGACGTGCCACGCTGCTTATAAACACGCATCCTGTGGGCGCGAAACCGCCTGGTGCTGACTGCCAGCGACAAAATACTACTGCGATTGCTGGGGAAACTGTACTTTGCCGTCCGGATACTGCACCATCTAGCCCTGACCCGGCGATGTCGGAAATCCTTGCGCAGCGCAAGGCATCTAACAGTTGGCGATGGCTTCAAGATGGCGATGGGAAGCGCGAGGCTTCAATTGAGCCACAGCCTTAGCCACGGCCTTGGGGGTGCGCGCCTGGCGCAGGCCGGCATAGGCGAGATAAGAGGATTTCCCGCACGATACGCAAAGTGCTCCCGCAGAATACGCAGGGCGCAAGTGTCGGGTTGCCTCAGCGCCACGAGCGCCTAGCGAACTCGTGAAACCGGTAAGCCCCGCATGATAGCTGACTCGGCCAGTTCCTAACTTCATGAAGCCCAGTGCCTCGAGGTTCCTCTTAGGTATTGTCTATGTTAGGACTTAGTAACTTTCAAGGCAGTGTGGCCGAGCGGTCTAAGGCGCCACGTTAAGGTTCACCCTTAATTACTATCTTCGTGATTCCGTGGTCCGAAAGGGCGTGAGTTCGAATCTCACCGCTGTCAATTTTCTTTTTTTGCGACCCACCCCTATCACAATAGGGGTGCAAGGTCAAGACGAGACAACAGTTGGTTAGCATGCACAGCTCTTAGGACGAGGAGACGGGGATAAGGAGGAGAGTTTGAGACGATTCCAGAGTTTGCTATGGGGAATGGCGTTTTGTGAGGCATCTGATAGGGGTGCACCCCCTTTTGCTTCCTTACGTGATGGGCTACGGCACCGAAATAGAAACGAACAAAACAAACAAACGCAAATCTTCGATTCTGATGGACTGACTGCTGGGTTTCGAAGTCGACAGTTTTTGGTATGTCTACCGCCCCTGACCGAATCGCAGCAATACGAAAAATCCGGCAGCCAGACAATCTCAATGATCTCGAAACGTACATCGGAATGCCTGCCTTCCTCCGATGTTTCGTTCCGTGGTTCGCCCAGAAGATCGCACAACTGGAGGACAGAAAAGTCCAAGTTCTCAAGGACGGCCGAGAATCTGGGAAACTCCCCGTTAACAGCGTCGGTGTGGAAACAGTATACCTTCTCTGTGACGGCTGGGTCGGCCGCTGGATCCACACATAACTGAGCCAACCTCCAAACAAAAGGATTGCCAGAATTCCAAGGTCAGCACCTTAGAACTCTAGGTAACTGTTGTTATATGCCTGCCAGCACGATCTGGGCCTGGCCCCAGGATCGTGACTTCCTCCGTCAAGTTTGTACCGACAGACGCAGAGAAGGAAGGCTTTTCAGATCATCCAGGACCAGCCTAACCAACGAGTCAATCCTCACTCACCCATCATGACCCAGCCCGCTCAGCACCTTAACCCCTGGATATGCGTTAAGTCGAGGCCTTTTATATTTTATTTCCGGTTAAGAGAGGTTTAAGAACGTAATTGATAGATCGCTAAGCCCTTATTAAAGGCCCTCCTAGCATTGCTAAGATGCCAAAACGCTTATATTTGAGGATGTAGGCGAAAGAATTATCTTTAAGGGGATGCGTACGGAAAAGGGGGGGACACCTCTATCAAACGCCCTGTAGTAGACCAAGATCGCCCTGAAGGCCATCGACGAAGGATCGGCGTCAGAGCCGACGCTCAGTTTTTAGAAGAGAAAGTCCGTTTGTACTGTCGCAGTGGTCGGACCCATCTAAGGTATTTGTAACTCCAGCGGTTACCCACTCTTCACAACCAAGTATAGCTCTTCCGAAAAGCTCTATTTCAAGCTGCAAGAGTTTGCCACCCTCGCGCACTTCTCCTTGTGAAGCTTCGAGCTCGCGTCGCTAGCCCGCGCTGCGAAGCGATGGGCACGTCGCCCGAAAGGTCGGTACCTAGGTATCGAAGCGAGCGCTTCCCGGAAGATGCCAACTGGCGCTGCGAAACGGTGGGCACTCTCCCCTGATACTGAAGAGCTAGGTACACTTCTTTCTCGTTAGATAATGTTAAACGGTTTTTTCGACATGTTTTAGCCATATCTTCATTTCATGTGTGGTAGAGAAACAGACGAGTCTGTTCCGAAAAAAGAAAAAAAAAAGCGTGGGTGAAGCGCATTAGTCCTGTGAACTTTTTCTATTTTTGTGTTCCCGTTGATCCGCCCAAGCAGCCGCAGCCGGCATAAAGCACCTAGGTAGAAGGTGTGAAGATGCAGGCACCCTGATGGGCAAAGGCCCAAAGGCCGCCAGTGATGCAAGACACCTTGGAGCTCTTTGTTTACTTGCAGGCAACTGAATCAAGGAGGCATGCAACTGAGTCAAAGAGGACTCAGTCAGGAAGATGAAGGCATTCAGAAACAAAGGAATAGGATAGATATAGATAGACCTGGCCCAGCCAGCACCCCGGCTGGGCCAGTACCACCAATTGACACACAATCTATTCCCTGGCAAAGACCCAGAATCCGACAGAAGGGACGCGGCTTCTCTCGGTCGAGTGAACGCATATTGCTAATAAGTGCAAACTCAATCGCAGCTATTGCCAGAAATGATGTCAAGATCGACCCCGTGATCAAGATAGCGGCAGTAGCGCAAACTATAAACAATTTTTGAGACGTGGCCGCAGGAATGGGCAGTTTCTTCAACTTCCATGTGATAGTCAGTTGGATGCCAGAGCTATCGCTCTTGCAGCGCAAACATACCAATCCAACAGCATCTCTTTTACCTAACCATTCCCATAGAACTGGAGGCCGATCTCGATAAATCTTTCCAAGTTCATAGCGATATCCCGGACTTTGCTGACTTGGATTCCGACGATATTCTCTCAGATAATTTCGATAGTGACTGGGAGGATCCGCTCTCACATGGTCTTTCCTTTCAGGCCTTAGACGCACTTGGGAAGGAGTTTGCGGCCAGCACCGTCGACGAAAACTACCGAGATATAGCTAGCGAAGATAAAGGCACGCAGAATGACCTACACGAACCATCATCACTAATACACCAAGACACCACCATCACGAAGACGGCAAGCGCAAATGTCCAGTCCTTTGAAGAAGAGATCCTTAGCATCATTGCCGATCTAAAGCGAATCGGAAACTTGCACACCCATTATAAGAAATACCTGGCACTCCTTGGTTCACTACAACCCATTACGTCATCAGCATTCATCTTCATGATGAATATCTCAACCGAATCCGCTCTATTCGTTTCTATTTCACAAACTCTACCATTTGCCAACCTCAAGTTCAGTTCACGTGAGGTAAATACTGCGACCAGACCGGAGTCTCGAACACAGATGCCGGCAGCCTTCCGAGACTGATGAAGCATTCCACCACGAGGTACACCCTCGACACAACATAAAGAAGTGTACCGGCTCCGATGGAGGTGAGCACCAGGCTCACTACTATTGTGCGACCGAATCTGACATAAACGTCGTAAAGGAACTGGCCGCCGGGCAAGTAATTGCGAATAAGCCAAGAAAATTTGAAATAGAAGCCTTTAACATAATAGGGCGATGTCTTGTAGATCTGCCACTGACTGACAGCTTGCTGGATCTCTTTCCAAAACACCTGGTTGAGCCACCAGCCAAGTAGCGGAAACGCCCCATAAACAATGATAGAAACTCCCGAGACACGCAAGATCGTAGTTTCGGCCGCTGTTCTCACCGGAGGGCTCCACGCCAGGAGATGCAGACCCCCGTAGGCCAGTCCGGCAAAAAATAAACTGAAAAGAACCGTTGACGTCTCAGCCTCGGTTCCCGTACCATGCCCCGTGGGCCAGTTTCTTGTCCGATAGGAAGCCAAACACCCCCGCATCCCACCACGCCCGCCCGCCACGTCGGGAGCCAGGCCGGGATACTTGACGTAGCCATCATTTGCGAGTCGAAGTAGCAATAAGTGGTCCGAGTCGATCTCGACATAGGGACGCCCCATAGCCAGTAAGCCGTGGTCGACAGCGCAGCTCCTGAGATCAAATTCAAGGTGATGGCGGATTAAAGCGAAATTGAAAAGACTCTGCCCCATGTACAATCTGAAGGCGGTCAAATTGTCCAGCCGGTCTGGGGGTACAGTGGGACATATTTCCAAGGGCATACCGTCGGAGCCACGTTGCATGAAACCAGTAACGCCGCGCTTTACCCTGTCATCCGCGTATTCGTCGCCGACAGATGGCCAGTACACCATGCTCGGGTGGAGAGAGTGATCCGGGTGCCGACCGGCTGTGTCCTCGTGTAGTTTGTAGAAGAGCTGAAGGCCTACAGATGTCCGCATGGCTATCGCGGCACACACGAGCTCAGCGTCGGGGCCTTCTATGAGCGTGGGCTCCTCAACGTCGAGCGGCTTGTCCCACCACAGCGCGTAGGCAATCAGGGCGCAGATGGCATGGGCGAATGTGTTCAGCTCCAGAAGGCTGATAGTCATGCCCAGCGCTAAGCGTGAGATGCACTGGGCAGCAAACCACGATGCCTGGAGCGTGACAATGGTTTTGGCCAGTCGATTCGCCTTGCTCTTGTCCCTGATCTGTGCCACCGAGATGTTAGGCAGCAGATGCGGCACCGTTTCCGTCAGACAGAGCAGACCACGGTTCGTCAGTGTCATCCGTTTGCTGCGTGGGAGGAAGTCGGCGCCAGAGCCGATCACACTGGTGTCGAAGACGAAACCGCCCATACTGGCGTAGTAGCTGTGTGTCATCGTCCACTGGTATCTCCGCTTCATGTCGCGTTCCGAGGGTTCTTCGGTCGGAGTCCCGGATGCCGTGTTCCGCTCGATGTTATCATCGGATCCACTGTTTCCCTTTTCCACATCTTCTTCTTCCTTCTTTCTTCCTATCGCCAACCACCGAGGAATCCAGCCCTTTAGTCTCGTTAATCGACTAGCCTGTCTCGCCCGAGACCCCTCTCCGAGCTTTTTTCTCATCTCTCGATATAGATCCTTGGCCTCCCGGCGCTGCTCGAAAGCCGTCCAGGCGATGATCTCGGGCGCGAACAGGCCAATGGTGAGCCACCCGATCTTTCGGGACGTCTGGGACTGAGGGATAAATCTTCGCCATCGCCTCCATTTGGAGATGAAACATGGGTCCTCTGGCTCAAGCTCCGGCCCTGGGATATTCAGGTGCACGGCCGTCCAGACGCAGAGGATCATGGTGACGAGACACGACGAGAGCAGCGAGTAGGTCCCGCGGCCGCCGGGCTCGGGCTGCCATACTGATTCGTTTCGGGCGGCGCCGAATTGGATTGTCATTTGGGCTCTGTCACTTTCTCAAGGTATCGACATCGTCTTCAAAAAAAAACTCGCCGGAGTAGCGAAGGGAATGGGGAAGAAGCCAGGGGGGTGAAGAACAATATGCTCTGAAACCAAGTGAACAAATTGAGATGGAGGTGAATAGACCAAAAGTCTCCAGCACGTCTCTCGCTTAAAACCATTTCAGGCCTCCGAACCCGAATTCGCTCCGCCACACAAGTCTGCCTGCCGCTCTCGATCTGGGCGGCCTATCACAGACGACAAAATCAAGCCACTCAATCGCATGCACAGCCCTCCTGCCGCAAGCTCGGACAGTGTGGTTTCTTCCTTCCAAATTACGCAGTTCTTAGAG